CCCCAAAACCCCAAAACCCCAAGATATTTATGCTTAGAGATTTTAGTGTAAAACTTGAATATTCCAAAATTATAGTGTATATAATCAAAAGTGCTATCTACGTTTATTTCATCTTCTTAGGTCGCTATTAGAGTTTGTATAAGGTTTATGCGAGTTAGAGAACTTTTAGATTACACCTAGCTCAATTTGAGTTAGAGTGCAGTTCTTAGGGAGTCGTAAACTTTATCTTATAATATAGAATATTCTCTCAGACTCTTCTTTATGTCTTATTAAGTCAAATATACAATTTTCAACATCCTCAAGGTTTTCACAGTGAAGTGTATTCATCAGATTCATCAAATAAAGTCTTTCTGCATTAGTTTTTCTAGATTAAACAGGACTGCCATTAGCCTCAGATTTATATGGGCTACCTTAGAAAGTATCTTTTAGCTTTTGAACATTATTTATATAAGATGAAACTAGACTTCGAATCCATCTCCAAGTATCCTTTATCTTAGGGAGTTCTTACTAGAATGGATTTTATGCCAAGTTTTGTAAATTGGAGCCACTTCCATAGTTATGATTCATTCCTGTTGTGAGTGTGCTGATATCAATTGTTGAATTACCTGGAATAGTTGCTCTCTAAGTTTTGTTACCTAGGTTTTCAGTAATATCCTGAGTCTTTGATGGAGAACCTTATGGTATGGGTTGCCCTAATTCTCCATTCATGCAGTCTTTAGCAAGCTTTTGTAGATTTGTTATTAGTTTTCTTTCTTTTTGGTGTTTTCTCATGAAATGCTTGAGATCCTTGACTTTTAAAAGTATATCTTCATAATTCTCAATCTTTAACTCTTTACAAAGCTAGTTAAGGAGGGAACTCATCTCATTAGTTTAAGCTTCACGGTGATTCATATAATTAGGTGATCTGCTTCTTTTGCCAAAATGTTTACTATCCTGGAGATCAACCTAAAATTCCAAAGTGCTAGGAGGTCTTTTAGTTTTCTAGTACTTAGCTAGCTCACTTTCTAGGAATTTATTTTTTTGTTGAAGATGAGTGAAATGGTCCTGGAGTAAATTATCTTCATTATTTCTTTATTTTTTCAATGCAATCACTAATCTATCTTTTTCTGTTTCTAAATTGACTAATTGCTTGTTCAAATCCTCAACTCTGATTGTGAAATCCTTAAGTTTGAAGTCTTTATTCTTCAAAAGATTCTTGTATTGGTCTAATTTTTTTAGGAATGATTCTTTTTCTTCTGTCATACTCTTGAGTTTCTCACTAATATCTCTTTTTTCATGCCTAAGTCTCTCATTTTCAATCTTTAATTTATTCATTTAAGAGATCAATTCATCAGCTCTGAGGTCATTCTTGATCATTTCCTTCTCAAATTCCTTTGCTAAGCCCTCATAGTAAAAAGCCAATTCCTCCTTTGTTTTAGTTTTCATACCAAGATTCTAGATCTCATTTCTAAGAATTTCACTTTCCTCCTCTAAAATTTCAATTTTCCTTCTTAATTACTGATTTTCAACCCTTATTCTTTCAATTTCAATCTGACTTCTTCCAGAGTTATTAATCAAATTAGTATTTTTCTCAAGGTCTTAAAGCTTTAGACTCTTTTCCTCCTTCATTGAACCACTTGCAGCCCCACTACCTTAAGTATTTTTAAGTTCTTTTAGGATATTGGAAACTCTTTTAAAGTTATTATCACTGTTTAATCTCTAACTTTCTTCAACCATTATTAGTTCTTTATCTTTTTAAAAGTAATTATTATCTTCAATCATATTTCCATAGCTAGGTATATAATTTATCAAATTAGACCTGCTTTCCTCAAGTCTTTTATCTTTCGTAGATCTTTTGAGCTTAGGGTTTTTCCTCTGAGATCTTCTTCTTCTAGACTTACTCTTTTTTTTCTCCCTTCTATTTTCACCACTTGAAATTACAAATAGCTCTTAATGCTCCTCTTGCAAGGGCAATTTGGTATTATTATTAGGGTCAAATTTCGAAGTGAAATTATTTGGAGATTATTAGTAATTATAAAAACCATAGTCAGTTTGAGATGCCTTTTGCATAATATCTTTGGGTGACTATGATTCCTCTCTTCCATAACTCCCACCAATGGAGTTATTCAGTTTTTGACCTAGATTCATTATTGACATCATGTTTTCAGTGTGATTAGGGTTTTAAGCAGCATGGATTGAGAACTTTCCAGGGGAACTTCTTCTAATGAGATCTTATTTTAAAACAGACCCTGACAAGGAAGGAGTGTCATTTTATTTATTGTTGGTAAATAGTTTAGAATCTCCGCTTATATCTTGGAGATATTTATTCTGATACCTTTATGATGATTTTAACTCTCCTCTTGAATTATCAGATATACCTCTAATTCTATTACTCTTAAGTTGAAGTAAGTCAGTTTCATCAATACCTCGATTTTACCGCAAACTACTTTATAGCAAAAGCTCACTATCCTCATGAAACTTGAAAGTTTTAAGATGTTCCCTTTAAGTCTTCATCTTCTTTCTAGACTTCCTTTCTCTTTTCTCGGCACTTTCATCTTCTTCTTTGATACCCTAGCTTCCATCCATTCTCTGCTAGTAAGCCATTATATTCTCATATAAAAGATTTGAGTTTGGTCTAAATGTATAATTTGAGTCTACGAAAGCTGTGCTCTCAGCATAAAACGGGTAAAACTTGCTCTAATCCTAAAGAATTAAGTTATTAGGATTTTGAAGTGATGAGGCCAAATCTTTTTCAGTCGCTCTAATTGTATCGATATTTTTATTATTTGAAAAACCAGAGGACATTCTTAGATGATTGGCTGAGTTACTGAATACCACAGTACAATCCTTGTCCTTTCCACTTAGTTTAAAGTTATTACTTTGCTAGAAGGAGTTAGGCGAACCTTTGTCTCCACTACTCAAGTTATCTTTATGGATATTGTCTCTATCTTAAGTAATTTTATAAAGCCCAATCCCGTAATTCATATTTTCTTTTACAGAAGGAGGAGTTATTTCTGATTTGGATCTATCATTGTTCTAATTTTGTTAATGAAGACCCTATCTTCTGCTAAACTCATTTGATGTATTGATGAATTGCTAGGATGGACCATAATAGTCCTAATCTTTCAAGATTCTTGATGACTCAAGATGACTGCCATTGATTTAGGGAGAAGAAAGATGGATTGGATTGATAAAAGAAGTGTTATTAAAGCCTTTTGATTTAGTATCTTATTGTTGAATCTCACTCTTATTTAATTCAAACCTTCTAGACGATTGATCTTCTGTCAAAGAAAATTTACCTTGGGGCCCTCCTCCAAGCCCTCCAACCATTGTATTGTTAAAATATTAAGGCTGCATATTTTTAATTTGAGAGAATTCCCTACTCATATTACTGAGCTTCATCTATAGCTTATCATCACTATCCTTTCTCTGTTTGTTCATTTTTTGCAAAGGACTCATTATACCAGCTCTATCATTAAAACTCTCATTGTTGAGAGTATTTGATTGCTTCCGTGACATCTCCAAATGGCTGTTTGTCTCTATTGGTTGATTAGGGAAGTATGATGACTAGTAAAACTCTAAATTCTAAGTATTCATATTTTAATTGCTAAATATTTGTTTGTTAAGGGGGTTCTCAAATTAATTAGAGTCTTTTCTAAGGAAACTAGCAGTCTTTTCATTAAGATTAGAAGTAGTTTGTCTATTTGAATGCTGTGCTAAACCGTAATCTTGGCGGTCTTGAGTATTACTATGCATTTATTTATTTATTTTAAATTCAAATTTTATTTCTCAACTATATGGCAATATAAATCGGCCGGGGTTTTGGGGTTTTGGGG